ATGTCACCTCCACTGACTGTAAAGGTTCACGGAAAGACCTTGAAAAGGCCCACAGACCACCAGTTGATAATTACAGTTGTAGCTTGTTTTGCGGCTCTGGACACATTTTATTAGTGAGACTAGGAACACAACTGYCTCTTTTGATTGTAAAGGCTGCAGACCCCTGAGCTAAGGAGATAGTTTGTGGAATATTTTTAACAGAGAAAAAAACAYTACAAAAAGACTTCTCTGATGTCCACCAGACTTTCAGGTGTGCCATGACAGRTGTTTTGTCTTSTGTATTTTGGATTCTCCTCCGTGTTCCCGTCATCTCATTTTRTGATTGGCTACAAGTCCTCGGGGAACACCCCACACTACTAATCCAATGTCTTGGATCGGCCCAGTATCCCAGAGTTTATAATATCCCATAGTATTATAAACAATAATGTCATGACTGCAGCCTCTGGATCAGGCACCCTGCTTCTTGACTGCTTCCTGGGAACTTGCAGCTCACTGAACTGTGCACTTTGTTGCCAAAACCACACGTGCCATTTATCTCAACGCAGACACCACACAAACAACTCTCTGTATTGTCTATAAACAATCACCCATTATCTCATGTCAAGTCATGYCAAGTCTCATAAACACCCTTATCTATTTTTATTTAATCTAACAATTCCTCTRCAGTAGTTTGATGCCAACTCAAGCRACCACTTGTTTATGGGATCTTCTCACCACCAGATAATGCATTGTGTGAATGATGTGTTTGGATACAACAAACTGTATTGAAACTTACAGAGTCCAGAAGCGTGTATAGCTTTAATTAACTTCTTCATCTTGTGCAGATTTGAGTTGTCCATCTCCAAACACTGCAACYACACAAAAACATGCAAGAGAAATGGAAATGGTCAAGAATACAACATTTGTTTGCCAAGTTTAGATAAACAACATATAGAAAACAGTGATGTTGTTTGATCACGGTTGGAAAATGTGTGTCTGTACAAACTTCTCACGGTGTGTGACTCAGGCAAARAGGTTTTGCCCAGAAGACAACCGTCTGTGACGTAAGCTTTTCAGGTTGAGACACTTTCTCTAGAGACCATACTGAGATTTTTCTAAAATAGCAACAAAACCTAGAAATAAGACATGATGTAAGCTTCACTGGAGGAGAGAAATCAACTTTTTTTCAAACAAACAAAGTTGGACAGCGCGTCTAGTTTATCCTCCTCACAAGCACTGCTTGTTGCAGCAAGCAGCAGTCCACCTACATTGCACCAAAAATAACTTTAATTGGGCCAGCCATTTAGACTTATGGGAGACTATGTCTTATTAGATGTGGTTGTTTCCACACTCCAGTCCCACCCATTTAAGTCATCGCCGCCTGAGCTTTGCTTCATTAACCAAAGGGCTGTGATATGTGAAGATGCAGTCATTCTGTGGAGACTGAAGCGGCCACTCTGACCTTTTTTATTCTCAAATTAGCCGAACTGTTAAAGAATAATCCCTGCTCTAGACAAGAAGGAGCTCCACCTATGACGTGTGCTTCTGTTTAGATGCTGCAGAGTTGTTTTAAGGGCAACTATTTGTACCCGTATGTCAGGTTATGTATACAAGCTGTTATTTCCGGTAAAACTGAATCTAATCAGGACAAATAAGTGACAAGCAGCTAAATGCATGGGGGAGGGTTAAATGGTATCTCCACCCTAAACCACACACATGCCCACACGTTCCTCTTGTCTCTAATCTAGCTTGCTGAACAGTGTAGGGGTCACCTCGAGTGAAGAAACAAGATTTACTGCCTCGAAGCAGGCCTCGGACAGGCCTGACGAGAAGGCAGGAACTCCGTCACAAACTGAATTCTATTTAGGCCATGACAGGTCATTTCAACCTAGAAGAGAATTTCACAGTTCTCTTAATCAGATAATGGACAGAACAATCTTTTCTGTTCGTGATTCATTTGTTGTTTAACTAAGAATGTTTATGCATTTGTTAAATCATAATAATGACTGTCACAAAGAAAGTGGAATCACTTCTACTCTTTTATCGTGCCTAAAAGATTAATTAATGGTATAAAAATCACAGAGAAAATCATTACCATGTTTTCATTGTGTTTTTATATAAATCACTGTTTATATTTTACTGGAAACACAGTAATATAATTGTGAGTTTTTCTTGAGAAAATCTTTCATTTATCTGGACTAACAAATGGTTCAGACTGATTACTTAAACAGAAATGTTAATTAATCATCATAAATGTTTTGCAGTGATTTCTCTTAGAGTCTACCAGAAGAGAAGTTGAAAAGAAATGTTATCATATTCTGTTGTGAACAACCACAGAATTTAACCTTGGCTGGCAAAGCTCTAATCTTTCTTCTTTTCCTGGCTCATCTTAAGCCTGAGGGCGGAACCAAAGGTTGTCCGCTTCTATTCTTAACACGGACGCCTTTGAGTGAGGGAACACTTCTTCCTGGATGCCGAACTGGGAAGGAACGTTGAGTTTCTCTTCGGAGAAGCCAGCCTGGCCCGTTAGGTCTTGCCCATAAGCCAATTAGGGGGATCTAACGGCCGAGACAGCGGCACGCCGCTGACTGTCCCACCTGAGGTTCCAAGCCTCTAAAGTGTGTTTATAACTCCCGCGGGGAGATTTTATTTTGAAAGGAGGAACCGGATGCATCAGTTTGAATCTTTCTGGCGAAGATCGGAGCAGACGAAAAGTTGCCTAAAATAACACCTTTTCGCCGAGGAACAGTGAGCGGGCCGATTAAAACGTTCCCTGACTGATCGGAGGTGAGACAGTGCCTACCCAGGGTTTGCTTAAGAAGCCGGCACCAGGTAAAAACTGACGTGTTCCGGGTGACGTGTCATGTGGAAATTTAAGCACAGAAAGGACGTGCTGATCCGGTTGTACCACACACTTAACAAAATAAGAGTAGTAGAACACTAATCTTATTTTCATCCTTTCCTTTATTTTTATTTGCCAAAACTTAAGCTAAACAATGCTAGTAAATTGTTTGGTTGTTAATATCAGAACTGACGTTTACTGTTCTATATATAAGTAATCTGAGTTTGATGTGAATTAAAATTCGGACGCGAGTTTTATCTCATTTAACTTTGAAGCTTGTTATAAGAAAACCACAATCAGGTGTACTTATGATATGTTCAATTTGTGTAAATAAATGATTGCATAGTCTTTATGAATCAACTTGAACTCATCTGAACGTTCCCTTATTGTGTCATTTTTCACTTTGCACAGTCAAGATATTAAAGTAATGAGAAAATACCTTGGTAAAACTTTCCTCATAACCTTGTTATGAGAGATATGTAGAAAGGCTTATTTCACCATAAGCTACCTCCTATAACAGACTAAATATTATTACCATGTGCACCTATAGAGTTGGATGCTCTTCAGTCTGTGTGCACATGTGCAGAATTCCAGCATGACGCTCCCCAAACTGCTATTCCAGTTATGTATTTTCCAGTGTGTCATGTCRAATAAAAAGTACATAAAACCAAGATAAATGCAGCAGACAGCTGCTTAAAGCTGGATTCTACAGAATCAATCCATCTTTCATCCACTTTAGGTCATCCGTAATGGTCCTCACAATGCACGAAAGGTAACAATAGGAAATTAGGTTAGCAGTATTTATTATCTTTCCGATAGAAGGATATCCAGGATGACTTGCTATAAATATAAATCCAGGCACGTTGCAGAGCACTGATTCTAAATGTTTTGTCACACACGAAAAGGTTCAGTTTGTGTGCAAAGCTTGGATTATTTGTTTAGTGGCAGAGTTCATGGCAGCCTCTCTCTGTTTCCTCCCTTCGCCTGAGGAGCAAAGGGAGGAGACATTTCAAACAAACACACAGAGACCTGAAAACAAGCCTTGAGCCAAAGTAACAGCTGAAACTGAAAAAATATAAAATAATTTAAAAAAAGCCAAAACTGACCCTCACAAAAGTGCTTGCAAATACTGGCAAACATGCACGCTTTACAACAATACCACATTTTGTCAGAGTTGAACTTCTCTCTGTTAAGTACACGGTGATTTGTGAGTTTCGTCACATCTAAGTCCAAAAACACRGAGTAAAGCAAAAATGGTTATGCTGCATAATCTCACGTAACCTTTACTGTCCTGATGGGATCGACCAGTGGACACTGAATCACAGTAAATGCTAACTTAATTTCCTGTAAACTGTGCAGGTGTAATATGCAGCCTATAAAATAAAATACACAAGTGCTTGCAGTATAAACAAAAACAAAAAAAAAATGAAATCAGACTGCAGAAAATAAACACACCACATGCATTCATACGCGTGTAATTCATATATCAGTGTTTGCTGATAAAACACTTGGTCCTATTTTTGTGTCTGGTTACAGGTTATGAATGTGGAGTGAAATTACAGGCGTGTTCTGGAACAAACGACAACATGTCCATTGTTATTCTAGTAAATGTTTTTTTCCTATACTTAGTAACACCCATATTTGTTAAAAGTGATAATCCAAAATGCTCCATTATAGCATTTATATAGCCTCATGTTTTGCAAGGTGCTGTGAGCTGTGAAGATGATCAACAATTGTGTTTGCTGAATTATGAAGATTTAGAGGATTGCATACAGACTGGTACTTACCAGGTACATACCTGCTACTTACAGGGTACATACCTGCTACTTACAGGGTATATACCTGCTACTTACAGGGTACATACCTGAAATTTACAGGGTACATACCTGCAATTTACTGGGTATGCACTTGTTACTTATGTAGTATTTATCAAATACTAACATGTATTCACAAGGTAAGTACCTGTAAGTAATAAGCATGTATCTGGTATTTACAGTAGATTAGGTGTAACTSTAGGTACCTTGTGTGTATCAGGGTAAGTACTTACAGGGTACGTACCCAAATTGTTAATTACTGGGATTTTACTTACTGACTGTTTACAGTTTTATACCTCGTACATACCTTATAAGGTACTAAGGTACTTATAAAGTACCTGATACTTACAGGTTATATTTCTGGTACTTAAAAGAGCACAAAACTTTAATCTACCGAGTATGTCTCTAATACTTACAGGGTGGCCTACTAATGGGTACATATGTGGTTTTTAGAGGGTAAATACATGTTACTACTTACATGGTATGTAACTGGTACTTACAGGTACTTACAGGGTACGATAGTTTAAACTGCTGGGTATGTATCTGGTACAGAGTACTAATGAGGTCTGTAATTGAAAACACGGAGAACTTGTTTTAGGTGATTTCTTACTTCCTTTTTCCCCCCTTTTTTTAAAATCAAAGCTTTCAAAATGCAACAAAATCCATAAAATTTGYCTTATTTATATTTTTACCCTGAAGTGGAACCTAAATGTGGGGGAAAAAAACAAAAGTTGTCAAAGGTTACTAATTATTCAAGTAATTTGGAATGGGTCATACAGTTTAATTCAGATTTTACACCTGTTTTCTCTGATAAAGTGAAATGAATGGTAACGACTTAAACAGCTTTAGAGCTTRTCAAAAGTGTTAAAAGTTTTAAAGCAGTTAATGAAGCGAGCAGGTGGGGGAATGCCCTCTTCCTTCGGCTCCTTCCTGCAGTCAGACAGGTAAACAGAAAACAAAGGTGAGCCTCAGCCTCGCTCAGCTCGTCTCCAARCTCACCTCTTCAACCACTGACACCGTGTTCCGACAGTCACTCATTCTGGACTGAAAACTGGAAGAGCCGGGGGAAGACAGATCCTCGTTCGTCAGTACCACAAAGTCCGAAATACTTATTCGCTCCGGCATGTTTCCAGAAAAACGGCTCCGACATTCACTCTCCTGGCCAGAAAATGTGAGACTAAAGTTTCACCCGCGCGCGTTAATTTCCCATTTGAAAAGGAAGCAGGAASTTTTATTCCTCTTCTTGTGCGGAGAAAAGAACCTGCAGCGAGTCCGACTGTTTCAAAATAACTTGTATCAATAAAGAAGTTCGCTYAAAGCAGAACTGAACTCTACAGAGACTCCACTCAGCAAATGTGAGCGCGTGCGGCAGTCAGATCCACAGCGGTAATGTGAGGAGGGAGGGATCAGCGGGTCCGTTCCTTACCTGTTCACCGGCGTAACACTCGGTTCAATGG